ACTACACTGTTCACTTATCTCATGTCTTTTCTTCCACCAACATTCAACCCACTTTTTAGAGAAACCTTCAATCATTATTACACATTTCTCTATGCCTTTTATTATTCACCCTCTCGAATATTTTTTTTTTCTATCAATCATATTGAATCATTTATGCCTTCCTTTCTGTTATGCAGAGTCTTGAAGAATATCCTGAGCAACCACAACAACCGTCGAGCATGACGTCTGATCCAAGCTCTTCGGACTGTAATGAAATGCTTTTTGATGAACTTTCAGATTCGGACAGCTGGTCTGAAAACGAAGTATGTGAATTAGTCCTATCATTTGCACCTATGTACTTTCAGCTGGAGATGCATGCATGAGATTCTATTTCAATCAGTTTATAGCTCCATGCATATTCTATCAAGTGTCAAGTCATGCAACATTCATTTGTTGCGAAGCAAATACACGAATATATGCCATTTTTTTTTTCTTTTCCTATTCTCGATTCTTTCTTTCTTTCCTTGTCTTTTTAGTGATACGGATGTATTGCCATGCAACGTGAACAATTTACTGCAGTTGTCAAATGTGTATGTTGTGTATCTGTCACCTCAGGTTGTATCATGTATCTTCCTTTGAATCACTGAGTGTCCAATAGACCTGAAGGGTAGTTCCATCTTTAGTATTTGTTTTTCACAACATGATACCAGTTTCGCCAACGGCTTTGAATGAATATGCTTTTTTTTTTTTGTTTTCTTTTCTTTTATCAACAATTTGAGGGAATGTGTATCTGCTGACCAAGGAAAAATGGAAACATTTTTAGATTCTGATAGCCTGACAGAATTTTAATCGGTTGATGTAGGAACTTGTTGTTGGTGCTCTGCATTGTCCAAAACATGAAAACTATTGATATTTTCTCATTGAGTTGGCTGGCACTGAGCTTGGGTGTTTATTGAACCGCTTACTCTATAACAACCGCTGGTCATCAACATATATATTCTAGACTGGCATGTGAGATTATTTAGCCCATTTTCTACTCGTGGCATATAGAACTGAGCCCAATATTTCTCTTGCAGGACAAACCTGCTATAGTGTCTGACGAGCACAAAAGGTTGTTAATGTTGGAAAATACGGGCTCATTATCTGAGGAGGAGAAAAAACAGCTAACCTTGGCAAACATGGGTTTCACAGTGGAAGAGGCAGCGATAGCCATGAGAAGATGTGGTGAGTGCACTAAAGGCTACTAACAATGTTTCTCATCATGCTCTCAACTTTGATTTACATCTTTGCCGCCTGGCCTGTTTCAAAAGTTCATTTCATCTTTTTACCATGTCGTTTTTTTAAGGCTCTGAAGAGCCAATCTCTGTCTTGGTGGACTGCATATATGCTGCCCAAATGGTTCGAGAGTCAGACTTCTATATGCCAGAAGATGATCTCAAGGTTTAAATTTTTCCTATATCATTTTCCAATAATAATAATAATAATTATAATAGTAATAATATAAAGTTTAAAAAATTACCATAAATTGTCTGAAAATTTGAATGCAATAATTGTATAATAATAAAGAAAATAAAAGAATTTCACATCCTACGATCCGTGGAAATTATCATTTCTGTAAATATATGTGCTCTTTTGGATATTTTGGAACTTACATGGATAATTATCAAATTATTCAAGTATGCGTTAAAATCACATGGTTACTTTGACATATCAAATTACAGAAAAAATGATAAGCATGTGATATAATTGTAACTAAGCTGTTTTCTTTTATTTAAAAAAAAAATGATCATGATAAATTCAAAAAAAAAAAAAAAAAAATATTTACAAGATTTTTTTTTTCTAATATGCCAGTTCAATATTCTGCTAGTTAGAAAGTATTATTAGATATTAAGATAAATGTGATTTCTTGTTTCAGAGAGATGTATTAATTCCGCATAAACTCAATATTATATTACTCGACTGTAGATAAGTTGTGCAAAACACGATCGAAATAGAATAAGATTATACTTTAAGACCCTTCTATACGCATTAACCATTTGCTTTGCATGTTAGCTGAAACTTTTTGTTGCATTGTATTATAAAATTGGAACAGGTTTCATGTGTTGTTATCTATACACTGCTAGTGCGTCTATTTTTAAGAAGAATTCATTGGGCTGATTTGAGAATGACAGAGAATTATCATGGTGTGCTTTTAGACACGTTTTTCGAGAATATCATAGAACATTTTCGGTGATTTACACATGTTAACTGCATCGAGAATGAAATATGTTAGGTGAACAAATATTATGTGTTTAAACATTTGTTAATTCTCATATAGCTTAAACATTTCAAAATGATAAGACTGTCCCTAGTTTTCATGAATATTTATCAGATAATGAGTTAGTTCATCTGAAGCAAATAAGGGCAAATAGGTGTGTAATGTGTTGTGTGTTCACCCTCATTTTAATTAATCTACGGTAATCTATGTTCATCTAATCCTACATTTAATTTATGAAACCAAACTCAATTTCTCTTTTCACATAAGATCTGTTTGTGTAACCCCTCGTTTAAAAATACAAAATCAATTTCAACATTTTTTTTTCTATACATTGCACCACTCCCCCCACTATTCCTACTACAACTAAACCGAATCCCACTTCCCCACAGCCGAAACGCATCCTTGGGATCGTAGCCAGCTGCAGAAAGAGAAAACACCACGAAACAAGGAAGAAGAAAAATGACATAGTCGAGGACTTCATCCGCCTTCCCAAGCCCATGATAGGCTTCGGCGTCCCGTCAATCCATCCCGAGCGCACGATTTTCCGCACCTTGCCCCAAGTGGCGCGGGGCCCACCATACTTCTACTACGAGAACGTGGCCCTCGCCCCAAAGGGAGTCTGGGAAAAAATATCCAAGTGCCTATTGGAGATCGAGCCCGAGTTTGTCGACTCCAAGTACTTCAGCGCCACTGCTCGAAAACGCGGTTACGTACACAATCTCCCAATTGAGAACCGCTTTCCGTTAGTCCCACTACCCCCGATGACTATACAGCAGGCTTTCCCGCTGTCTAGGAAGTGGTGGCCTTCTTGGGACACGAGGGACAAGCTCAACTGCATACAGACGGCCATTGGGAGTGCTAAGCTGACGGAGCGAATAAGGGGATGGGTCGAGAGCTGTGAGGGGGAGCCACCAGAGTCGGTGAAGAGGAATGTATTGGAGCAGTGCCGCAAGTGGAATTTGGTGTGGGTCGGGAGGAACAAGGTTGCGCCGCTCGAGCCTGATGAGATGGAGATGCTGCTTGGATTCCCGAAGAACCACACGAGAGGGGGAGGGATAAGCAGGACTGATAGGTACAAGTCTTTGGGGAACTCGTTTCAGGTGAAAATTCTATTTTTTTTTTGTTTTTTTTGTTTAATTGGATAAGGGGAATGAGAATCTCGTGTTTTTGTTTTTGTTTTTGTTGATGTTTTTTCTAGCTATGTTTATTCGGTGTTGGTTGTGTATGCATTGTTGGAATCAGTTACATTGAGGTTAAGGTCTTTTCTTTTTTCCTCCCTTTTTTCTTAATTGTCTGGCCGGTTTGTTAAAATGGTTAAACTTGATTTCGTATTCAAAACGTACCCTCCCATTATTAAGCTAGTTCATCAAGGGCTTTTCTTTTTTCCTCCTTTTTCTTTTTAATTGTCTGACAGGTTCATTAAAATGGTTATACTTGATTTCGTATTCAAAATGTACCCTCCCATTATTAAGCTAGTTCATTAAGAAAAAAAAAATAAAAAATAAAACCTATAAATCTAGATTCTATGATACACTGCCACTGTTTATGTTTTTAATAGTATAAGCAAAATTTGAATATTCTGTAGTTTTGTTTTTGTTGATGTCTTTATTTCTTAGCCATCTTTCTTTTGTGAAATGTTGGATTCAGTTGCTTAAAGGATGAGGTCTTTTCCTTTGTCTCCTTTTTGTTCTGATTTAACTATTCTTACTACTATCAGACCAGTTAGTTTAATTGGTTCGAGCTGATTTCATTTTCAAGGAATACCCTCTCACCGCTTAGTTAGTTTATTAACATAATCCTTCAGCTAACTAACATAAATGTCATTAGCAAAAAAAAAAAAGAATCTATATATTTCGATTCTATTTCACACTGCCATTAATTGTAACTATTTTTAGGTCGACACCGTGGCTTACCACCTATCTGTCCTGAAGGAGATGTACCCGAACGGGATCAACATGCTCTCACTCTTTTCTGGCATAGGCGGTGCAGAAGTTGCTCTCCACAGGCTTGGAATAAAGCTGAAGAATGTCGTCTCTGTCGAGAAATCGAAAGTCAACAGAGACATTGTGAGAAGCTGGTGGGAGCAAACGAACCAGACAGGGAACCTGACTGACTATGACGATGTCCAGCAGTTTGACTCCCCAAGAATCGAGCAAATTATGGACAACATAGGCGGGTTTGATTTGGTGGTAGGTGGCAGCCCCTGCAATAATCTTGCCGGAAGTAATAGGGTGAGTCGAGATGGGTTGGAAGGCAAGGAGTCTTCGCTGTTTTATGATTACTTCCGGATATTGGATATTGTTAGGGAACATAGTCGGTATTCTCAGCAAATATAAACTTTGATGGGCAGGGAGTCATTTTGGTGACCTTTGATCATTTGTGTAGGTTTCTTAATTGACTCTGTTAATAATTCATTAGTTTCAAAACTCGATTATTTGTTGGGTATGGTGGATGTTAGTATA